AGGTCCAGGGCATGGCGGACGAGATGAGCCGTTCGATGAGCAGTTCGGACCCGCTGTTGTTGGCGTTTTTCGCGGACGTTCTGGCAGACGAGGGTCGTTCGCCAGACGAGAACACCGAGCAGCATCGACGTTCGTTTTTGCAGTCGCTGCCAAACCGGCCGTTCGTGCGAGCGAAGGGGTCGAAGGCCTCTCCGTCTCGGTTCAACAGCTGGACGGTCGCACACTCGGAGCTCGACCGGGACTGGTCGGCCTTTTGTCTCGTGTTGGCCGTTCTCTGCGTCGCCGAAGGTTGGTGCAAGAATGCTGCTGCACTCTGGTCACCCGATGGGTCTGGCGTCGGGGAGATGGCCGGGACAAGCAGGGCGGCCGCCAAGGCTGCTGCTCGGAAAGCCATGGCGAAGGAGCGAGGCCGTTCGGTGAACACACTGCATGCGATGACAACCTTTGCGTGCAATCCAGACAACAGGTCTCTCGCGAGAACTGTCTTCTACGTACTGCAGCCTGAGGGGCTTCGTTGTTCGAAGATGCTCGAGGAGCTGAGATCCCAGCAGTCCACCGTGCAGTACTACAGCAGCTTCGCCCACTGGTCGTACATGGACACGGCTCGCGAGCACGTCGCTCGACTCTCGGACCTCGCAGGCTTGGAGAGGCTCGGCCTGGACTTCTCCCTGGTCGACCCCGACGGCTCGGCGGACAACAAAGAGGCCGCCGTGGTTTGGCAGGACACCGTCAGTCGCAGGCTGACGAAACTGACACACTGCCTCTTGCGGTTTCGCTCTGGCTCGCAGCTGAGCTCCACAAACGGTTGGGGCTCGACGGCCGGTCTGTTGCACGACTCCACTGCCGCTCGGCAAGCCAGCTTGCGGTTCCTGCAGGAGGTGGACAACACTGTCCGGACTGTGGCAGCCGAAGGGTCGTTGGAGGCGAGGAAGCTGCTCGATGGCCATCCGGCGACCGGGCCTGTGATGGCGTTGGCTCTGTCGGAGCTCCGAGAGACATCGTTCGTGGAGGTGCCGCCCGAGACGTTCGCGTGGCTCAGCCATGCCTGGGGCGGTCTGCTCAACTCCAAGCTTGTCGAGGACGGGAACAAGGTCCAGCGAGAGGCGGAGCAGCGAAACGGGACGTCGAAAACCGTCGGCCGTCTCGAGGGCTGGCACGGCCTCTCGAAGAAAAGGTTGCTGCAGTCCTACGGCCGTTCGGAGGTCCCTTGCGGGACCCTGGTGACAGTTCCCCAAACTTTCGTGGCAGACGACTGGTTTGTGCGGAGGAAGAGGGCCGTTCGAGCGGACTCTAGCCGTTCGTCAGTTGCGACTGTGGAGGTCGAGGTCGTGGAGCAGGAGGCCCTGGAAGAAGACTTGCTTTCTGGAGTCAGCAAGTCCCGAACATGGTCGTCCCCGACTCCCGAGACCGAGCAAGACAAGCTGGCGGCCTTTTCCGTTTTGGCCAAAGTGGTTCGCGAGAAGCTGGACTGGTCGTTCGTAGAAAGAGCCTGGTGGGCGTCGCTTGCCCCTGAGGGCCACGGGTTGCTCTTTGCTGGTCTCGACCCCTGCTACGTGGTTCGAGCCTACGGTCGAGCTGCCTTGGTTTGGCCAGCAAAACTGGAGCCGTTCGGAGACGGCCACGAGAGGCTCGTTCTGAAGGAGGATGCCCAGTCACTCTGCTGGCTGCATATGCAGGACGAGAACGTCACCGTTCTGGAACTGCTGGCGACTTCGCCTCAGCGTCTCCTGCCACTTCTAAGGGTTTTGCAGGAAGCCTAAGCCCTAAACCCTAAAGCCTAAAGCCTAAAGCCTAAAGCCTAAAGCCTTAAAGCCTAAACCCTAAACCCTAAACCCTAAACCGTGATCAGTTTGGTTAGGTATTCCCTAAGAGAACTTAGTGGACGTGGATTTCTTTCAGCTAGGATGACAAAGGACCGGATATGGCCAGGGCCGAGTAAGCGGGCAGAGGATTTTGGATTAGGGTGAGGATCTGATTTTTGGTAGTCCTTCTGTAAATAATAAGTGTGACCCCATTTTCTGCTTTGGGCCGAGGTGCGAGAATTTTGGGCGAACGTCGTCCGGTCGGCGTCTCCTTCAAGGTAGCGGCCAAGCGACCGTTGCTCGTGCATCAGGAGCAGAACGGCTTTGCAGGCGTTCCTGAATGGGCCTTGCGAAGACTGGCGGCAAGCAAAGGCTGGGCGTTCGAGTCGGAGGAGGCCGGTCACGAAGAGGATGACCGGCTGGCCATCGCTTGCATGCTGTCGGTCGATGCGTCCCTCACAAGGGAGGAAGTGGTCGGTCGGCTGCTTAACAGGCAGGAGGCCGCCGCGTGGAGCGAGGGAGCTGGCTTCGACCTGGAGGAGGTCGTTCGTGACACCATGCTGGCGGCCGATCAAGATCAGGCCCTGCAGCAGCTGGCGAGAAGGCGAGCCGCTCAGCAATCGGCAGCAGACGTGCGGAAGCGTGGCCAAAAGACTTGCGAGCACGTCTTTCGGACTTTCGCTGGGCGGCCCGAGTTTAAAGCAGCACAGGCCGCTCGAAAAGACAAGGAGAAGCGGGAGAACAAGGCGACGAAGGACAGGGCGGCCGCTGTCAAGCGGTGCTATGCGGACTGCAACGAG